AGTGGCAAAGGTACACCTGACAACGCCCTGCCACACTAAAAATGATGTATTTTTACTTCCTTTTTATTATTCATTGAATATATAAATGTACAGTCAACTTTCAGGAAGAGGGGCTGCAGTCATACAAAGGCTGTCTGGGGAAATACAGAAATAGGGAAGACGGGCGGCAGTCCCTGGTTCGGACCAGGGATTCCCGGGTCAGAACTTNCCTAACCATTTGGCCACCACGATTTTCTCTCGCCTTTTTCCGTCCACCATTACCTGTAGTCACTATCTTGTTTCACAACTTACCAACAAATTGTATTTTCGGACCCTACCTCGCAAAGTAACTGAACCCAATTATTAAAATTACTTATTCATCACCCCGTTTCAATGACTCGTTTCAACCGGAGTGTTTCTCTGTTTCACAGGACTGTATAGATGTGTTTATCGGGCTTAATGAGAGCACGTGAAATTGATGATCAATATCGATTCCACCCAAGCGTTTTCTTGTGTTAATTAAAAGGATAAAAGGAAAGTGATGTTTTACAAATGTTTTACAAAAACATTATGCACCTCTTTATGTTTAAGCATAGACAAAGAAGATTTTCCATACGCCTGTAGGCTAGCTAACACAGACTGGAAACTAGTTTTGGGAAATTCGTATCCAGTATACCGTGGGAATCAATCATTTTAGACTGTCGCATGAATCAGAAGCTGAGTTGTGGCAGCTGCTATTTTTACAAAAACTATGGGAGCGAAGTAGCGATCGAATCCTTGGTTCAGTTTTCTATTTTTCCCGTCGCACGACAGATTGGACGTAGAACAAGATAAGGCAGGAAACACCGAGCCAGTGAAACCAGACTCCGTTCAACCAGTAGCATCCGATCCAAATACACACCGACCAGTTAAACTCAAAACGGGCTAAACCGGACAGGCAAAGAGTTATCATTGTAGGGGGTGGAACAATCGATGAATCACTCCTGGCTACCAAACAATGGCAACCAAGCCGTGTCGGAAGCCAATTGAAAAATTTAATCGGGTGTATCCCTAGGCTATTTTACCATCTGGTCTAGGAGGTTATCACGACACCAAATATGACTCAACCAGTACTATGAACACCGGAGTTAGAAAACTAAAATTCACTTCCTTTGAGAACCAAAAATGGTGAATAGGACGCTAGACACATAAACACACACACACACACACATACCATGACGACCACAAAGTTGGGGATCACGATAAAATTTTCTATAGCAGTCATACTGAATTGGAACCGAAGATTATTTGGAAATCGACGGTAGATCAGAGACAGAGGATTCGAGGGAATTTTTAGTCCTGGTCAGCTAAAAACAAATATGGTTGGTGCCCAAGACATTTGATATAACAGCACACAGCGATAGTGAACGGAAGCAAAGACGCAATCAAGGTTTAGGCCATGTGAAAAATGCAAACAAAAAAGATGAATACAAAGTTCACTTGTCATAGTAACGCCCTGATTGGATATGATTATCGTGGGCGACTATCAGTTGACTTGATAAAACAACTAAGACCGTATACCCCTTTAGTTCATATGTAATTAAGAATCGTTTGCGTTGAAGAAACGGGTCAATGTTGCGTGTTGTTCGGCAGAACTGTGAGTTTCAATGTCTAATGTCGACTTTGAAGAGCGAAAAAAAATAATATTTGCTAAAACGCCACTTTTAAATTACCGGATTTTGGAGGTCGTAATATCCGGTTGGGTCACAACCATAACAATGCAGATAGAACGTAACTGTGGTCGTGCAATAACGCAAGCTAAAGGGATGAAAACCCTGCCCAGGGGACTTGCTCATGTACACAGTTCGAGTTAAATCTCATGTTTGGGGTTCCCCCCCACTACCACTACCACCACCATCACCACCATTTGATGTGCGGAAAGTTGAGGAGATACGGCGCTCTTGCATCTATACAATCACGTTTCATCCACAGTTAATTTTCTCATAATACAAGCTTCGATTATCTATGAAAGCTATTGGGTATTTTTTCAATTTTAATCATTTTCTCGTTCACTGAACAGGCACACAAATGAAACACAACAAAACAAACCGGGACATAGAACTAGACTACATTGCTGTCCACACTCCAATTGACAATGAACAACGGTCTAAAACTATGCACCAAGCTTCTGTCACTAGGATGCCCGATGGCAAACAATTCAAAGCTGAGTAGAAGTGTATCAATCGAAAGGAAACTAACTGATGGAATTAACTTGTTACGGAGAACAATGTAGTGCAAGTTAAACACATTGACCGAAATAGTGTGTCATCTTTTTTCACCCTATCCGGGCTCGCGTTTTGGAAATCACGTGCGGCGTGATCAATATTTGTCCCGGAACAAGTAGGATGGGGGATCGATAGCTCAGCAGACAGAAAAACAGGCCAATAGAATTCATCAAAAACCATAGCTTATGTCAGCGAAACAAAGTTATAATAGGGCAGCATGGTCAGTGCCATGAAACACGTGTCTACTTTCGAGAACTAATCAAATGATAAGCGATGAACCAGAGTAGTACAAATTGCTTCCAGTATGCTATCAAGTGAAACATTATGATGCAGTGAAAGAAAAATATTTTGGACAGCAAAATCCCTGTCTAGGGGATCTGAACGGTGAGCGATTTCGCTTTCACAGATGCAACTTTTGCGTCTAATTGTGCGAGGATACACGAATCTGCGAAGCAAATCAGAGGTTACAAAAGGAATGATGAAATAGTGATAATTGATGTTTGTGAGTTTATACGTCTGTGTCTATGTACGTGGAAAGTGGAAGAAGGAGGGTAGTAGTAAATGCGTGAGTAGATGAATGACTGAGGGTTCATGGGTGGAGGTTACGTCACCAGATCATTAGAGGAAGGCTCTGGTAAGGCCAGTGTTTTGACCGATTGTTTCTGGGCGCACAATGAGGGTTGCGGTTCAGTTTAATTCAGTTTTTACAACCACTAACCATGCATGTTCATGCGCCGATTTCGGTTACGGTGTTTTGGCTGCCCATTTCGATAGGAGTAGAAAGAAGACTGGAATGTTGAGAGCAGGGTCAAAGTGAAGATGGAGAATACATATAGACTGGGGTTGCAAAAATATTGATAAGATGCGCCAGCGCCACTGTTTGTGACACCCAGACATATCAGTCAGTGCACCCAACCGCCGGTTACCATGATCTCGAGGTCCCCATCCAGGGAGCCTAAAGGTACCTATGTGACCTAGCGTTACGGTTAGAGTTTTCACACCCTCATGTCAGGTCTACGTTTGTCCACGTTTGACGTTTCTTCAACCGCTACCTGCCTCGACAAACATCGCGTACTGTTGCAATCTATTTGGTGCCAAGCGCAACACGTGCCACGGACAACGTAATCTATGGAGGTCGACCACTCGTTCTAATGAACGGCCGTGATTACCTAGAACGCTGCGCCTAACCTCGGCACTGTTTGTCCAGTTTCTCTACCAGACTCGTGCAATGCGGCGTAGATAGTGGTGTTCGAACACCGACAGTTTATCTTTATCCTATTTCTGCAATGGCACAGTTTCTGCATCGTAGAGCAGCACTGGCCGAACTGCTGCAGCATACACTCGACCCTTCACAGACAGCCGGATGTCACCACAAGTGTATCAGGTTGTCAAAAGCCGATCGAGCCTTCTGTGTGCGAAACGACATTTTATCTATGACGCATCCGCCAGGTGAAATACAGCTGCCAAACAGCAAAATTGGTCTACTTCGTTCACTACTTCCCCGGTTAGAGGCTAGGGACTGGGCCAAACCAATCTTGAAGCAGCGTTTTACACTTTGAAGGTACAGCAAGGATGGTTGTAGAGACGGATGGTAATCGCCTCGGATGTGGACAAAATTCTGAACTTGATATCTTTGAAAACCCTAGTCTGGACTGTATCGAGGACGGAAAGCCTCAGGTAAAGTGAACCAAACACAGATTGGCAACGTAAGCCTCGGGATGTGAAGTTGACAATCAAACCAAACTTCATTTGTCAGCGTCCAAATGGAATTCATTCAAGCACAGTATGGTTGTTGATGTAATAGGAGCATATAAATAACTCATTAGAATAGATTAACGAAAGCCTCAGTATGATCTGGGGTTGGTGTCCAAGTTTGCGGCTGGTCACCCTCTCCTTGCACCTCCCGAAATGCTCCCGTACGGCCAAGTGTCTCAAACAGCCTTTGTTGAGGAAGCCCTACTCACTGCCTTCTCGTGGTGGTGTTTTCCCACCAAAGTGAGAGTACGAATAACCGACATCCGGGCCTATAACCGGGCTGACGGTCCACTGGCAGTTCAATTAGGGGAGTTGGCTGAAAACCCTGTTTCCAAACCAAACAAGAAGAGGTGTACGAACCACACATAACCCTTCCTGGTTGTGACAGTGTACACCGGCTCAATTGGTTACCGAGTTGCATAGGCACCTTGGATGTTTGACCCCGTCCAAAGGGCGTATGATCCGATGAGATGGACACCGGTCCCCTTAATGGATTGGGGTTTTTGCATACCGCCCCGTTGCTTTGTTGGTGAAATTTTGTCTACCCGACGGCTCCGGTTGTGAATTCCCAGAGAAAATTCACCTGCCTTGATTAGGGCAATCGGGTTGTATCGCGCCCACGAGCAAATCATGAATGTTTTAAAGATGATTGTACCGCAATTTGATTGCCACACAATCTGACCTCAGACGTGTTAAAAAATTAAAAAAGATTACCGTTGTCTCAGCATAGATGCGCATGCGAATGTATTTCGACCAGAGAGAGAGAGAGAGAGAATACGTGCATGTTTGCATATCGGAGCCGGAATTCAGCTCGCACGTAAAAATGAAACTGCCATTTATACCTTTTAGAGGATTAAAATCAAAGGGAAAGGAAACGCGCGAAGCACCAAAAATACAAGTAACTTGACACTCGAGTTAGGATGTATTATGCCACCGGAGTGGCGGGGGCATCCAAATAAGGAATCGGGCATATAAAATCATGGATGTGAGATCAGCACTGACCTATTTCGATCTTGATCCGCACCGGTATAGTCAATAAAGATGTCATCCACATGGGTCAATGCACGTTCGCATATGCGTGAGGCGTGATCGAAAAACGATTGGAAACGAGATGTGGCCATGACCAGATTTCGATCCTCTTCGCCCAGGACAATCACTGTGAAATGAATAGAGAGAGGCATGAGAGGAGCGCGGGAAAGAAACGGAAAAAGAAAGGTAACTAGTGATCCTGTTGGTTTTGGACAGTCAGTAATTAAATTGCAAAAAACGCTTTGAATGACTTTTTGCTTTATTATGGATGATACTCGAAATATGAGCACACAACATGTCCAAATGATTTACGTCAAGAAATGAAGATAAAACTCTCACCCGTTGTGGAAAAGTCTGATGTATCACGGATTGTTCATCATTAGGTCCACAGGCAAACCAAGTCTTGACACTCCGAGCAACGATTAAAACATAATACCATTTGGGATAGCGTTCGGTCGGACGGACGAAAGCAAACGGATCTATTAACAAAATTAGTTGGCTGTGGCGAGGTTCAAATCTAAGTTATTGAAGGCCAATTATTCATCATCATTGTACGGCGTAATCCAGTGAAGCGAACCTCATTGATCGCTGACAGGTTCATAGTGTATACAAGGTAAGTAAGAACGTGTAAGAAGTATATATAGTGGTAGTATATATAGTATAGTATATAGTATAGTATATATAGTGGTTGGGCCCATTTTTAGGGACATTAAAAGAAAGCGCACCTCTATGGTCAACAGACAGAGTACACAGTCCAATTGTGCATGCACACATTTTCAAGCATTCTGATCTGATAAAAAATGACAGCAAGAACGCCAATGCTGCCCGTTCGTTGACATTTCCTTCAATGACTCCAACCAACCAGTCGCAGAGTATTTCAGGCCCCAACTCGGAGGACGAGAGACACTCTACTTAATCGCTCTGTGCATTTATTCATACCTCGTATCCACGCGGTTTTCCCCAGTCTGCAACAGCCACTGTAAATAAGACGCGAGGCGGTAGGCGACCGTCGGATATACGAAAAACGTTCCCTAACCAATGAAGTTCATTGAGCTCACTCAATTCGATGCATTCCCAAACACCCGACGACTTACGTCTAGGTTACTAACCCGCTCACTTTATCCCACTTGGGCCAGAATACGTAAGCATCGATTGTCGAAAACCACTAGGTGATGGATATCTTCTACCCGCAAATTCAAGGTTTCACAACCGTAAAGTAGAACGGATCGTACAGTAGCGCAGTATACGCGACTTTTCAACTTCGATGAGACGTCATGTCGCCGCCACAGATGTTAAAGCTCTGCGTACATCGCTCGAGCCTTGGAAATACGGGCGGTTATTTCCTTTAACGCGCTACCGTTGTTCCTCACACAGCTACCCAAGTACCAGAAGCATTCAACTTCAACAAATTCGTGACCGTCTAGTTTCAGAACGGAACTCGGCGACATCCTGCCTTGCAGCATCACTTTGCACTTTTAAAACCACTTAATGCGTTCTCTAGTATTTCGTCTATGACAAAATTGAACAAGAATGGCGAAAGAGGGCACCTATGACGAACACGGTTGCTAGTTAAGAACGACCTACTCAGCTCACCGTAGACCCTTAAGCTACCAGAGGTATGCGAATAGAGTGAACTCAGTATGTTCACGTACTTCTGTGGCATTCCTTTGCGAAACAAATAATGATGGAGAAAAAATCGCTGGGTCACTAACAACTGTGAAAAATGATCAGGGATATCTGGCGGAGCAGCAACTGTGAGTTGGTAGACTACCGTGTTCCTTGGGACATATTCCACCTCGTTGGTCTGCATCCAATATCCAATCATCATCTATGGTTCCAATCGTCAGCCACAACCCGACAAGCTGTTCGACAGATGGGATCAACCTGACTTAAGGTAACCAGGATGAGATGGCGATGACATGTATAAACAGTAACTCTTCTGTGGGTGGATGAGACCTACCATCCAACCCAAATGCAGAGGTGGAAGCTTATTTAACTAGCAAAGAAGCACGGATTCTTGGATTGCACTTGACATCAGCCAAATGGTGAATAAAATAAATAAATACAATAAAATCCCATGGACACTGTCCACCTTGCACCAGAACAGTTTTTCAGTTTGCACTTGGTTGTGTAAAGGATAGAGGCAAGCCCTTGAAAAAGCCGGATGACGTTGGGGTCACCTGGTGTGTACTAAGCCTCAGGATCCTCATGAAACTGATCTATTTTCTACGAGCCAGATTCGGCGCCAAAAAGGGATGACAGCACCTTTGAAAGCATGCAGGTGCTCACGCTGACACTTCAGTATTGAGCTTTGAGTGATCAAACATTAGGACTGAGTTAACAACCCATGCTCTACCCCCACCCCTCTTGACAAATCCATAAAAAAGTACGCTTAGTAGGATGGGTCGAATCCTGACAAAATGCATATTGGTGCAATCTGAGGACACCCCACTTCTAAACGTTGATCTATCGTTTACACGAATGCATATCCAGTAGTGCTTGTGAAACTCGAATGCATGATATATGCGGGTCATATAGGGGATACGATAAAAACCATAGTTTGCACCTACCAGGTCATATACATGGCTTGCAAAATGGTCTACAATGCAGCACTTTATCACAAAGTGCATGGAAGCCATTTCAACGTTGTCGTTCAATGCAATCCTGGCATGAGTTGGAAAACCACGATGAATAACTAACTGATGAGAAAGGGACCATTTTTCCCTATAAAAGTGACTATTTTACCCTACTTTTCCTTATTTTCCTAATTATCTTTATAAAATTTAAATCTCCAAATTTGGGCGCCAAAAACGCCCCAGACCACACCACCGGCCATATTCATTCCTGATCGGTCCACTCCATAATGACTCACTACTGCCAAACTAATTTCCGAGGTCATTGCCGGCCGGTCCCAAAACTGTATATAAACAGATGAGTTGTCCACAACCTTCGCCTTTTGGGTCGAGCCAAATACACACAACCTCTCGCCTGAAGGCCTGTCTTCCGTGTTCTCTCTGGTCAAGTTCGGGGATCATACTACTCTCACGGGACGTTTTTCCGGTTCTCTTGGAAATAGCGCTGGGTACCGCAGTCGAGCGTATTCGTGTACTGTTCACTCGGTCACTGGGTCGTTACGGCTCCTGTTCATGGTCAGTATCNAGTATCGTTTGGGGCCACGATTCAGGCTAGTCCGGTCGTATCGTCTATCCCAATGTTACAACAATAATGTAGTCATGAAGATTGCTTAGAAAAAGTATGCCATATATTTTCGACAAGATGCGATTAGGCTGAAAAGTGTATTACGATTATACAATGGGGATAAGCCTATGAACAAATTTTCCATGCGAGTGGTTTTAACATGTTTCTGTTCTCCAAGTAAGCAGTTCGACGAAAGAATAGTTTACAATCTCAAACCGAAATTCCGGTTTATGTGAATTCTAGATAAATATTATTTGGTCATCTAAAAGGCAAAAATGAACAACTTGCGGGGCGAGAAAATGAGCGATCAGTTTTTGATCCCGCCTCAATAACACTTTCGGATGTGTGTTCAAGGAATCAGATTCCCCTTGTAGCGCTTACTTGAACCTACAAAATGTGAAATCCTATCGATTACGACAGCAGTGTTTTAGTGAACATCCTCTAAGTTCAGAAGAAAAGTATATGTAGGCTGAGACCTAATCTCGGAATAACCAGCTGACTCAGTCAAATTACAGGCCCAGTGTACGCCGCTGAAAGCAAACGTCGATACGGGTAGGCTGTCACGTGATTCGAAACCTGTTGGCTGAGGAGAGTGGGTACCAACAGCCAGAAATGAGAAGCGCAGGGTG